ATGGATGGATGGATGGGTGGATGGACTCACGGATAGACGAATGGAGTGTGGATGGATGGAGGACGGGTGAGTGTGTGTGGATGGATGGGATGGATGGATAGGAGGGAGGACATGGATAAATGGCTGGGTGGGAGGACACAATACAGATGAGATGGATGGATAGGATGGGTGGGTAGGTGTGCGGGCTGATCGGATGAACGGCTGGGTGACTAGGTGGGTGGACGCACCGACGGAGGGGATGGGTGGGTGGGTGTGTGGAGAGAGGTGAGCACCGTAGGCTAGGCACTGGCGGGAACAGGGATGAGGGGAGAGAGAGGCGGCGCGCGTGCGGAGCGCTCACGGCCTGCCGCCCGCAGGTGTGGGAGGCGCTGCTGACGCTGGTCTTCTTCCCGGTGTGCGTGGTGTTCGCCTGGATGGCGGACAAGCGGCTGCTCTTCTACAAGTACGTGTACAAGCGCTACCGCACCGACCCTCGCAGCGGGATCATCATCGGGGCGGAGGGAGACCCGCCCAAGAGCATCGAGCTGGACGGCACGTTCGTGGGCACCGAGGTCCCGGGAGAGCTGGGCGCCCTGGGCGCGGGCCCCGCCGAGGCCCGTGAGCTGGACGCCAGCAGGCGGGAGGTCATCCAGATCCTGAAGGACTTGAAGCAGAAGCACCCGGACAAGGACCTGGAGCAGCTGGTGGGCATCGCCAAGTACTACGCGCTGCTGCACCAGCAGAAGAGCCGCGCCTTCTACCGCATCCAGGCCACGCGCCTCATGACGGGCGCGGGCAACGTGCTGCGCAGGCACGCGGCCGACGCGGCCCGCAGGCCCGGCGCCGCCGACGGTGCGGACGACGAGGACGACGGCGCCAGCCGCATCTTCTTCGAGCCCAGCCTCTACCACTGCCTGGAGAACTGCGGCTCGGTGCTGCTGTCCGTGGCCTGCCAGGGCGGCGAGGGCAACAGCACCTTCTACGTGGACTACCGCACGGAGGACGGCTCCGCCAAGGCCGGCTCCGACTACGAGTACAGGTGGGTGCGCGCGGGGGCCGGGTGGGGCCCGGGCAGGCCGCAGGAGGAAAAGAGAGACCCCGTGCCTCGCCAGCGTCGCCTGGTCCCCGCTCTGGGCGGGCCTGCAGCAGGGGTGGGAATGCGCCCACTCAGCATCCCTCCCTTCCTCCCTTCCTCCCT